AATTTTATTTCTAGAAACAATAAATGTTTTTTTTTCCAGGCATTTGTATTTTTTATGCTGCTTTAAATGACTTAAATTGTTCTCTAAATCAGGGTCAATCTTATGATCATTTAGACTTATTGTTCGAGATTGTCTTGCATTTTCAGGTTGTACCTCAAAGAGACTGGTTACTTCTCTAGATTTATTTAGTAAAGAAAGTAGATGTTCGACTAAGTGTTGCATGCTACATATTCCCACTCTATTCATATCACTTTACTTCCAGCTGGTTTCATCTCAATTCCTTTGAAATTAATGTTTAATTTTGTCACATCACATGTGTGAGGGTCATGAAGAGCAACAGAATAATCCGGGTGAATATTGACTCCAAGAATTCTGTTAGCTAAATTGGATTTACATCCTCTTATTAAGGCATCTAATGGATTTGAAACTATTCTTTCATCCATACAAAGCACCATAATAGGGTTATTAATATCAGACCTGAATTGTCCAGTAATTTTGACTTGGACAAGTCCAAGATGAAGATATTTCATATATTTATATTTTTCTCTTGATTGTTTAATTATTTTCCTTTGATTGAAGAGCGGAATGCTTTTGAAGTTATCTTCCCAACGTACGTAGCTCCCACTAATAGTTTCTTATACAACCTTTGGCGCCATGAAAGAAATTGATAAGATAACTTTATGTCATTTCTCTTATCGTCCCTAATCATTACACAAAAACTCAAAAGTTATGGTAATAATTGAGGGCTATATTTTAATATTCTAACATGATTCCCGCAAAAAGTGAGCGTCCTTTTTATGAGCTGAAATACGGACTGACACAGCGATATTAAATTTATTTTATTTTCAAATCCCTATTAAATCCATGATCAGCAAGATTTGAACCTGATGCTCTGATACTATCTTAAAGTTCCTAATCACCACACCAAAACTTTCAGAGTTCTAATGAGGGTTTGAAGGTCATATTTTTATATTCTATAAAACATTTCTAACGTACGGTTGAATTCCTTCATGTTTTGTGATGAACTTAAAAATGTGGAAGTTGTCCCATCGCAAAAAAAATAAAAATAAAAAAATTCTGTTAGCGGAGCATACTAGACGCATATCTTAAAGTCGCGTACCATATCAAATCCTTTCACTTTATACATTTCTATCCTAAAAGAACAACTGCACTGTCTAGCCTTTTGGTGTAAAGAGATAAAAGAGAAAGAAAGAGAGGGTAAATCAAGGGGGAAATAAAAAAAAAAGAGACTATACTGAGGCCATGCATGGTCAATTTGTCCCCACGCGCGCATCACATGGGCGTTGGTTACGTGCAGGCGATGGCATAATTAAGGCAGCTCTCTGATCTCCCTGCAGAGATCTCACCGATGCGTCTATTTAGCCATATACGTAGGCGAAGACAGCCACGTGCGCGCGCGCCTCCCGTCGTAGTTCTTCTTCTGTGGCCCTCTCACCCTCATGATCATGAATTCCCTACGTAAGTTCAGATGCGGACACCTCATTTTTCAATCAGCAACTTGTCCGTTGGGTAGCTATTAATTTGTCAAATCTGAAGGCATGTTCACGGTAATGTGACCGGTTGTTGTAACGCACACATCTACCGCTTCGTGGCCTCACGAAGAAAAATAATGCACCAATCGTGGCGAGCCAACACTGATTCATTCACGTCTCACGTTAACACCAATAATTAGTTTTGGTTAAAATTAGGCTAATTCGGCAGCGCTTTGGCAAAAGGGTTAAGGAGGAGGGGTTAAAAAGAAGGATTAATGTACTTTAGCGCATTCAATAATTTGAATGGCTAGATTATTAATTAACCCGTTAAGTAAGTTTTATTTTAGCCATTGTGATCAGTTTTAGTGTTTGAGAATAACAATGATTTTGACTATTTTCTTTATAATTAGAAATGTTAGCTCTTAATCCTTCTAAATAGGAGTATTAGTAAACACCTCATTTTGATGAGTTAGCTCATATTAATCCCTCTAGAGGGGTTAGCTTAACTATTCTATATTTTTTATGCTTGGCAAATTTATGGAGGGTTAACTCACTTTAACCCTTGTATAGTTTTTCTGTGTTCGGCGGGTTACGTGAGGGGTTAAGTCTCCTTAACCCCTCACTTAACCCTTTGCCAAACGGTACCACGACTAAAATCTACAAAATCTTAGCCACTCTGTAGAAGATTAAGTAGGAAGGACGAAAAAACTTTTGCGTCTAGTTCGATTTTAAAGTTGATGGTTGTATTGTACTTGCCTTTATTATTGTTTGTTCCGGTTCAACATCTTGTTTTTGCCATTTTTAAACTATTCACATTGATTTTTACCATGAAAAATTCCCCAATGACCCAAAATATGAGATCAACAATGAGGACATGTGAGGTGCCCCTCTCCTATTGCATAATGAGTTGGCCATCATTAATAATGACCAGCTCATTATGCAATAGGAGGGGGGACACCTCATCTGTCTCCCCTGTTGGTCCTATATTTTGGGTCACTGTAGCAAAGCTCTTTTACCATATGCTTAAGAAAAATTCCTCGAGGACCCAAAATATGGGACCAATAGAGGGGATAAGTGAGGTGTTCCCCTCCTATTGGATAATGAGTTGGTCATCATTAATGAGTTGGTCCCATATTTTGGATCCATGTAGCAAAGCTCTATGCTTAAAAATATAGAGCAAGACACGTGTCATGTTATCTTTACTCTCCGAAGCGTACAGTGAAAGTTAGGTGAGCCTTTAGTGATTTAAGAGGCCCAGTAGTCCAGAAGGCCTTCTTACTTACACTCCTCGGTTTAGTGGTATCACATTGAATGGGCCTAGAAGCCCAACAAAAATTTCAAGCTTCGATTCTGCCCCAGGCGTC